AAAGGTACAACTTCCTTAAGTTTTGTCCATGGGTGTATATTGGTTATATCGTGTGTCTTCAATAAAGATCACTGTAATATCTTTCAGAGTTATAATCCCGAATATAAAAACATCACAGATTCCAGAATAATAATTTGACAAAACATCATTTGATACCACGAATTGATTTTATATACGATTTTTCCCCACAAGTAGAATATATCATTAAAGAGCAATACTTGTCTAGAGAGAATTAAAAAAAAATCAAAGAATAACATTTTCAATTATTTTTCAATATTATCAAATTTGTAGTAGAGTTTAGGAGAGAGTTTTAACCTTAATTTTAAAGAAGGAAACTTTAAAAAAACAATCAAGACATATTAAAAAAAGGTACTCCCATTAATGTAAATACTAATAATAAATGAGATAGTAGTTAAAAGAGATACACATCATTCTACTAATTTATTAATATATTGATACATTAATTGATGGCTGAACATCTTAACCAGATTAAGACCATGTTCCATCAAAATAGATTAGAGCTGTTTAAATATTCTGACAGATATTTGCTTAGCTCTAGTTGGATCTAGATTAGGGGAATAAAGGGGGATATATCCATGCAGACAATCACATCCTTCTGTATTAGACAAAATCTCTCCCTATTTTAATAAAATCATTCTTATTGCTTCTCCCTTTTATCACACTCTGGCAGACGATAGTTACTCTCCGCGCATGCGTGCTGCCATTCTATTTAAGCCTAATCTTGGATATACGACTTCAAGTTCTCTATAAACTTTCCCCCTGATCAAACAATTTGAAGCCAAATTAAAATTTTTAAAAAGTCTATTTTTTAAAAAATGTGCTGATAAAACACATATACGGTTATAAAACTATTTTAGATGCGTAATATTCTTTTTAAAATAAAACAATTTCTACTGTCCTTACTGCGATGGAAGAATTAAAGGGAGGGCCTGGCTCATCAGTGGTGAACCTACCGCTGGGAGGGTTCACCACTGATGAGCCAGGCCCTCCCTTTAATTTTTCCATCGCAGTAAGGACAGTAGAAATTGTTTTATTTTAAAAAGAATATTACGCCTCTAAAATAGTTTTATAATTTGATAACAGATGGCGCTCTAGTACATCGTAACAATATAAGGTTATATTGTTTACCTCGATGTTATGAATTGTTTTTCTTTCTCTCTCTCTCTCTACTTTGTGTGTACTAATAATTAAAATATAGAAATACGCTCATGGGCAAAACTTAAGGAAGTTGTATTTTTTAAAATTATATCGGGATTCAGTCAATAACTCTGAAATATATTACAGTGACCTTTATTGAAGACACACGAGATAACCAAGCGTGAACAGCCTCTGTTTCTTTCAAAAATACATACGACCGGCGACATCAAAGATTTTCCATTTCCTTAAGTTTTGCACATGAATATAGTTTGAAAATAAAATGTATAATATTGTGGCGAAGAAATAATTTATTATTTAATTTAATTATTCAATGAAAATATTTGGAAACAGATTTATTATTTGTAAAATCATCATTTAGTTGCCTAGCTTGCTTGTTCAATATTCTCTATCAGTAGATAGTTGGGTTGATAATTGTCGACTAGTCGCCGTGATGTCATCAATAAATACTTTCACACCTTCAGATATACAAAGACCTGATTTCTACGCTACAATATATTTAAGTATGATGTGTGCTATAATATCACCCAGAGATATACCTTGAACAACAACCAATAAACAATCGCCATTTTACTTTAGGGTTAAAGAATTTCTTTTAATACAAAACCTATTTTAGTACAAGATTTAGATAGAAGATAAAGTTAGAAAGCTTTGTGTACCAATAGATTGTTGTAAAAAGAGCCTTTTTTCCCTTGTTCAAGAAAATATATGTTTCTATACTTTTTATAATTAAACATAGGGCATTAATACGCCATCTATAGAAAAGAATTGAAATCATTAAGCACGAATTTTTCATTTTCAAATAAAAACAAATTTACTAAACAATTTTACTGCGATAAAAAAATATATCGAGTTTGTGGCATCTTTCAAGATCGGCTTGGCCAGTGTGATTCATAAAAAAATATTGTGGCAAAGAAATAATTTATTATTCAATTTTATTTTAATTATTCAAAATGAAAATATTCACTTGTAGCGTATAAAATCAAGACTTTGTTTATCTGGAGATGTGAAAGTATTTATTGTTGACGTCACGGCGACTAGTCGACACCAATAAACAATCGCCATTTTACTTTAGGGTTAAATAATTTCTTTTAATACAAAATCTATTTTCGTACAAGATTTAGATAGAAGATAAAGTTAGAAAGCTTTGTGCACCAATAGATTGTTGTAAAAAAGAGCCTTTTTTTCCTTCTTCAAGAAAATTTATGTTTCTATACTTTTTATCATTAGACATAGGCAAACAAGCTAGGCAACTAAATGATGATTTAGCAAATGTAAAATTTTAAATCTGTTTCCAAATATTTTCATTGAATAATTAAATTAAATAATAAATTATTTCTTCGCCACAATATATATTCCTGAAAAATAGGGTTTATAGGTTGGTTCATCTTGAGTTTCTTTTCGAAAGCGAATACATTTTTTTACTTAAGAGGTGCATGTGTGATTTACTGCTAAATTTCTCTTAGACCAATTAGTAGCCGTGTCTTATGTGCTTGGGCTGTTTTGATCAAGCTGGGGAAGGCATAGATCAGAATTGGCTGAATCGTGTCTCTGTTGGTTTGGACATCGTTTTAGAAATCAATAGATTTTTTTCCTATCAATAAATTATAGAAGTCTGAACAGAGTCAGGTCGCCAATATGATTTGTGTGAACTTTAAAGTTTTGCTCAAGTATTCCATCCAAGTAGTTAGAAACTTACTTGTTCAGCGAAACGTGATGGTTAAAGAAGTGTATCATAAGGTAAGTTGGGCTGTTGTATTTTTCACTACGGTGTTTTTTTTTAATGACCTGCATATAGCGGGAGAATGTCTCTAAACTGATTAAGGCCTATGTTTTAGCGACGATCTCTCATTACCTATAAACTGACCCATAGCTTCTTGTACCCTCTTCATTTTTGGTAAACTTACTAATACTTTATAACTCTATTCACAGTAATTATAGTATATAATTTACTAGAGAGTAGAGTATATTAGGCTATATAATATATATACACCATTATTTTTACACTAATAGGAATATATTGCTAAGTTCACCACTGGGAACAAAGCTCCGCCTTTGGGAGAGTTTGCAAGTTGTACCACATTGTCACAGACTCTAGTCGTACAGTTCTGATAGGCTCTGTTTGTTTGCTACTTCCTCTCCACAGGACAGACTTCTCCACAGTATAGAGCACTAAGTATATTGCTGCTGTTTTATACTTGGAACCTTCAGTAATTGCGCTATTTACCTCTTTCTCCAACAGCGACTTCGGTTCTCCTTGTTTCATATGCCCGTTAGATTTTGTCACAGCAAAATCTTTTTGAAAATATATAAAATATTCAAGTTCTGAGAAATTCCTAGATACGAGTTTGGAGCGTATATAAAGATATAGAATTATTGATATTTTTTTGCTCTCCAAAAGAGAGTTTATTCCGCGTGAAAGCCAAGTTATAAAGAAGGGACTCGGTGACCTAAGGAGGAAGCTTAAAGAAAGACATTTACCTAAATGTTAACTAGACACGGTGAGGGCTCCACGTGATATCTAGATACATAACAGAGAGGGGATTAGACTATACACACCGTCATGTATTGCTACACCCCCGACCCCAACTTCCCATTCCGATAGTTCGCTGTAGAGTGTTCTATTGACAATAAAGTGAAATGGGGCGGACTAGATACTGAAGACCGAACTGCCGGTCCTCACAACGCTGAAAGCCGGACTTACGTCAACACGCGAGGCCTCCCATCGGAGTTTTACGCAGAACCAGCAGCCTAGCCCCAGTGCCTAGTCCGAGTCTGTGGAGCGAGCAAGCTATCGGACGCGGAAGTTGAGTTCCAGTCCACGTGCACACAGGGACGTCCCTTCGGCAAACGTGGAATGGATGATAATCACGTCGCCAAGCCAACACGTAGTGAAGGCCATCTTTGTCATTACCTCAGGGGTGTAAGCACTGACCCACCCGCCCGGCTGTCAATAACTACTATCTAGTCACTAGCTAGATCTGTTAGTAGAGCTGGAACACAGGGAAGTCACGGCTCTCCATCTGGAACATCTGTTACACACAGCAGCCTAGAATTCAGACTTTATGGTCAACAGATTGCTATTGTCACCGAGTCCCTTTTTTATCCTTGGCTTTCACGCGGTTTGTAAGTTTTAAATTATATTTAAATTTTGGTTATTTCAATTTAAAAATAAAAAAGATCACAAGAAGAGCTTCCATGGCAAAGAACTCCACAATTTCGTTTCAACCAACCAATTCATGCTCTAATCAGCAACCCAAAACACCAAATTCTTTCAAGAAACTCAGTAAATCCTACAACCTCTAGATTTAATTCGTATTTACCCAAGTTATACAAGAAACGTAAGCTAAGAATATCTTTAAAAAAAACCTGTAAAGCAGTTCCAAACATTTGTGACTGATACCATTATATTTCTTTAATGAAGATTATAATTTAGTTTTTTTCTTTGATTTCTTTTCAATACAAGTCAAACAAATGCAATTTATTCTTTTATACCGAGTGTTTATTATTGAAATGCTCCTTTTTATCTATAATATTTTGAAGGTTATGCTCATATCAAGCTGAGAATGCTAATCATACTTCTCAGTTATTTTCATCATCAGAATGTAACTGAGATATGGAACTTTCCTAACTATAATAGTTCTATTTAAAATACAATATAACGCGGCTGATGATTGTAAAACGAAAATTAAAATTATACCGCGAATGTTTCTTTTAAAAATCGAAATTTATTTTCAAAGAGAAATAGCGACATTTCTAACTTTGAGGATGAGGTATGGAAAGGTGAAACATGAAGAGTAATGGAGAACGGAAAAATAAAAAGTGTCCAGGGGCGGGAATCGAACCCACACCCTTCTGCTTACCGGTAAGCAGAAGGGTGTGGGTTCGATTCCCGCCCCTGGACACTTTTTATTTTTCCGTTCTCCATTACTCTTCATGTTTCACCTTTCCATACCTCATCCTCAAAGTTAGAAATGTCGCTATTTCTCTTTGAAAATAAATTTCGATTTTTAAAAGAAACATTCGCGGTATAATTTTAATTTTCGTTTTATAATAGTTCTACCATCATGATAACTCAGCTTATGGAATAGTCAAAGTTGGATCAATATAGCGCAGAAATATATGGAGCAGATTTCTTAAAGGTAATTAAGATTGGGCTGAAAGAAGTTCAACTGGCGGCGTTATATTGATTTCTATCAACCCCACCAATCAAGTTGATAGGGCCAGTTGATATCATGTGATAACTTCAGGTTGGCTGGATGATGGTGTATTTTCTCAAAACTCCACGTTTATCATCACTTCGGACAAATTCCGATCAAATAAGATCATTCGCATAGTAATCAAATTTATTACCTGAAATACTATAAATATTAAAGAAGAAAAAAAGAGACTAAAAGAAAGAGAAGATCGAGAAAAAAAAATTGGAAAGAAAAAAAAGGAGAGAGATAAAAGAAACGCATATCGAGGGGTAAAAAGTAGCAAAGAGTTGATAGTGTATTATGATTAAGTGATTGAGAAGGATCAGATTGGCCAGTTCAAGTTGATTGTAACCCTCATTAGTAGAGACACGACACCAGATTTGACATTTAAGATTGTTACAAGAGTTGAATAACTCTGGTTTATAGTTGAAATGTCTTCGGTATGTTAGAGTGATCATATTGGAGAATTCTTACCTGAATTCTTCAACAGTTTTGAAATATGCATTCACATCGAAGTTAAGCTTTTGTTATGATACGTTTGGATTTTTTCTATTTCATCCTTTCAAATTTGCGACAGCATTTTCTTGATATATATCATATAAAACATAGATTTTGATCATTTAAAAATCATAATTCCTCAAATCCTTTATGAACTATAACAGAATATTTATATATTTAGATTTATTTTTAAATTATATATGTTTATATTGTCTCCCTGATGATTTAAATTTTTCTTTCCTAATTATTAATAAATAGAGTGAAGATATTTAAAACCCAGGTTCCCCATGAGCGCTGAATGCTGCCAGATACCCCAATTAGAGTCAATTGTTTTTGTTTGCGATTCGTTTTTGTTCGTATATCAAATTTTTAACAGGATCAATTTTGAACAAAGTAATATCATCATTTCTTTACGAATATTAGAAAAAATTATTGTAACATTATTCTATTTTTGTTCTATTTGTGCCTCTCTTTGATTTTTAGATTAAATTGATAGGTTGGACATATTTTAAAGATAAAACCCCATTGTTACGCAAGATAATTTTTTTTTATATATCTTAATTTAAAATTTAAAAAATATCCCTTAGATAAATTTAGCATATTTTAAAATTAAAATTTCGTTAAAAACGCTTCTTTCCATTTTGACAAACAAGAAATTATTTACTTCAGGAATAATTTCTACCTGTTGGATATATTTTATATTCTCTATCTCCTTCTTAAGATTCATAACAAAGTGGCTCTTGATATTTGTTTATATATTTCCAATGATGATACAAATAGAAACTATGCAATGGCCGTAATGATACAGTTTGTTCTGGGAAGTATGTTCTGAATATATTTTTAAAGTGTTAAGTTGTGGAAACTACGCTCTCTCAAATAAACATATCATTTGGGAGATGGTCTTCCTCCCATTAGAAACCACTCTCATCATACTGAAGAGAATTGGGACATTTCAAGTTAATGCTAGATATATTATACCTGTGGGTTTAAAATACATACACTCATGGACAAACTTTAAAAAATAGGAATGTCTTTGATTTTTCCGGTCGTTTTTTTAAAGGAGGCAGCGACTGTTCACACTTGATTATCTCGCGTGTCTTCAATAAAGGTCACTGTAATATCTTTCAGAGTTATAATCCCGAAATACATGCTAAAAGGTACAATTTCTTTAGGTTTTGTCTATGACTGTATATAAATTTCACATTTCAAGTAAAGAACAAATAAATAAAGAAGCTATTTAAAGATACTAAAATAGACAGTATAAAATATAGTGTCATCTTAAATGTAAAAACAGAATGTTATGTTGTGAGATAACCAATATGTTGAATCAACTCCAAGATGGATTAAGTAATGTCAAATTAGGTTAGACAGACCTGTTCGGCTATCACAAGTATATTAGGATGGTTGAGGCCATGTGTATGATATTACATGTGTGCGATGTACCGTATAGCGTTGATACTCACGTCCTGGTGGTCCTTATAGAGGAAGGTCTGACAAAGGATCAGTTCTTGTTCCGTTTAGACAGGTCCGTGGTAGTCCAGGTTCGCTGAGTGGCAATTAGCACAATCCAGGACCTCAGTATCATGGGGTCCTAGGTATTGGAAGGGTTGAATCAATTCCTCGTGCAGCTCAGATAGGTTCTCTAAGTCCAGTTGAGTTTTTGGTTCTTAGTTCCAGGTCGGGGATCGTCTATAGCTATAATGGCTGTAGATACATAGGCGGTATTGTTGCAGATGTCAACAATCAGCTCCTACCCGACATATGTCTGTCTATATAACATAACCCTCGCTTAGTCTACGAGGTTTCAGTCTTAAAGGCTCTTTCTCTTTACCTAGGAGGTCACCTCTAAGTTGATGAAATGTTAATTTGACCATAATGATTTTTGGTAAAAAAACTTGGGCTTAATAAAAACGTTTTAAAAGCTTCCCGAATTAAAAGGAGAGAATTCAAAGCTATTCTTATAGTAAATGTTGATATAATGATAGTTCATGTCCAATTCAGATGAATTTGATAAGATTATGAATAGAATACTAATGGATAAAAACGCAAATGTGACGAAATAAGATGAAATGGTAATGGGAACATAAAGAAGTCTCAAACCCCATTGAAAATTGGGAAGTGGAAGACACGACTTCATTTGATGCCATGTGCCAATGGTCTAAAATACGATTGGTCTTAAAGAGAGAATCGACTGCATTTAAATAGAAATAAACAATTTTCATTGAGATATTCAAACCTCAGAAGATGGAGTTCCCTAGTCAAGAATGATAGTTCATCTAGAAGAAGGAAAATATCTCTGGATTTCAAACTACGGGAAGATAGGATTTCTTGATTGGCTGCTCTTCTAAAGGAAACAAATTTGATAACAATCCTGTATTTGGTTCTAGCAGTCTTTGACACTTCCGACCCGAGGGACGCGAATTCGCGTCCTTGCCGATTTTGCATCAAGCCCGAAGGACACGATTTTCATACGGCCCAGTGGACCAGGCAACTCAGGAATCATCCATCCTCAAAGTGTTAAACATCACCAGCCTCCCCTAGTCACATCATGGAAAGTTGTCTTACTTGATGGTGAAATGTTGTTCTATGATGATATAACCTTCTATAGAAATGACATTTCTATGTGTGTGGAGATAACATTCTCAAGTATTTATATTTATTAAAATAAATAGAATTTTAAAAATCTAATCTGTGGCTTGTGTAAAATGGATAGTTTTTATCCTTTTAAAATATAATAAATAATGTTACTCTGTTCATTCATTTTTTAAATTAGCAGCATCCAACTCAAATATATTTCGGACACAAAGCGTAAATTTTCACCAAAAGAAAAGACGGGTTATCTTCTGACACAACCAATTTCTGCATTTTTTTCTTTTTTATTCTTCTAAATGGTTCTTCTACCTCACACGCAATCTATTTAAAATGGTTAGTTTCTTCACGCGCTTTTAAATTATCACAACTCTTTAGTCAGGCATTTAAACAAACACGCGACTCTGTTTTTTAATTAAATAATTTCTGGCACTTCATATATATAACTAACTATGAAAAGGATAATATTTCTCTTTACCGTTTTAGATGCTAATTTAGCTTGTTATTTTCTGCTTGTGTATAGACTCACTTATCCGTTATTGGTAAGGAATTATGTAGACCACATTGTCGCAGTATTTATCCCCATTCTAATTTTTAACTATTATATTAAACAAACCTTTATTTACTATTTATCTACGTAACGTAATTACACTCATGGATAAAACTTAAGGAAGTGGAAAGTTTTTTATTGGAGACAGAGGTAAGTTTGTTCACACACACACACACACACTTGGTTATCTCGTGTGTCTTCAGTAAAGGTCACAGTAATATCTTTCAGAGTTATAATCCCGATATACATGCTAAAAGGTACAACTTGGTTATCTCGTATGTCTTCAATAAAGGTCACTGTGATATCTTTCAAAGTTACAATCCCGATTTACATGGTAAAAGGTACAACTTGGTTATCTTGTGTTTTTTAAATGAAGGTCACTGTAATATATTTCAGAGTTATAATCCCGATATACATGCTAAAAGGTACAACTTGGTTATCTCGTATGTCTTCAATAAAGGTCACTGTAATATCTTTAAGAGTTATAATCCCGATATACATGGTAAAAGGTACAACTTGGTTATCTCGTGTTTCTTCAATAAAGGTCACTGAAATATCTTTAAGAGTTATAATTACGATATACATGCTAAAAGGTACAACTTGGTTATCTTGTATGTCTTCAATAAAGGTCACTGTAATATCTTTCAGAGTTATTGTCTGAATACTGATATGCATGCTAAAAGGTACAACTTGATATTTCGTGTGTCTTCAATAAAGGTCACTGTAATATCTTTCAGAGTTATAATCCCGATATACATGCTGAAAGGTACAACTTGTTATTTCGTGTGTCTTTAATAAAGGTCACTGTAATATCTATGAGAGTTATTGTCGGAATCCCGATATTAATGCTAAAAGGTACAACTTGATATTTCGTGTGTCTTCAATAAAGGTCACTGTAATATCTTTCAGAGTTATAATCCCGATATACATGCTAAAAGGTACAACTTGTTATTTCGTGTGTCTTCAATAAAGGTCACTGTAATATCTTTCAGAGTTATAATCCCGATATACATTCTAAAAGGTACAACTTTTTATTTCGTGTGTCTTCAATAAAGGTCACTGTAATATC